TTTTTTTTTTTTTTTTTTTGGAAAGGCAAAAGTAAGAAATTTAATTCCCTTTTTTTTTACCCGAAAGGACCTTAACAAAAAATCCCCCCCCAATTTTTTTTTTTTTTTTTTTTTTTTGGGGGGGAAAAAAAAAAAACGAAAAACGAAGGTAAAAATAAAATGCCTTAAAATTACTAAAAAAAAGAAAAGAAAAGAAAAAGAAATAAAGTTAAACGGGGGGAAAAGAAAGAAAAAAAAAAAAAAAAAAAAAAAAAAAAAAAAATTCCCGTTTGATTTTGAATAAGCAATCACCATCGCCATCACCACCACCACTACCACCATCGTCACCACACACGAGTCGTAAATTTATTTTATTTATTCGATATAAGAAATGAAATCACACACATAATAAGGAGAAAAGGAGAAAGAAATAAGAGAAAGAGAGAGAGAAATTTTTATTTGTTGAAAATTTGGTATAATAAATTTTTTCGCGACAAATTTGATTTTCTTTCGATAGTTTATCTATTTATTTATTTATTTTTGTTGTTGTCGTCGTCGTCGTCTGTCGTTGTCTGTCTGTCTGTCTGTCTGTTGGAGATGAAAAGGTAGAAAATTGTGTTTGTTGAAACAAAAGAGGGTGAAAAAAAAAATAATAATAATAATTGTCGACTCTCAGGTAAAAATAATAATTTTATAGTATTAATTTGCTTCTCTGTGAAATATGGGAAAATTTGCTTCTCTGTGAAATGACGTCATCGTAAAATGCAAAACTAATACGAATCTGCCATTTATAATTTGGCATAGGATAATTGATGACGTCGAAAAAGTCCTGAAGGGAGTGGAGGGAGAAAGGAAGAAATCTCTTATTAATTGAGACGTCGTCGTTGAACGCAAAAAAATTTTTTTTTTTTTTTTTTTTTTCATTTAAAGGTTCATCATCATCCGTTGGGATGTTGGTAAAACTGAATCCTAAATGTGAAATTCATTCTCTTTTTTTTTTTTAAATCAACTAACGAACAAACAAACAATCAATCAATCATTCGCATTAGAAAAGCAAACAAACGAGAATAAAATTATAAAAAAAAAACGGAGGAAAAAAAAACAAATGATGAATCGATTTTGTCAAAAGTTAAATATGAGAACGAACGTTGTACTTAAAAAGTAAAAAAAAAAGAAAAAAAATGGAAAAAAAATTCATTTTACACCTATTTTAACCTCAGAATGATTGTAATTAACATGCACAAAAAAGGCGGGGCCTCGTGTAACGTTCAACATTGAACTTTCTCTCCTCCCTCCTCCCTCCCTCTTACTCTC